GCGGGAGGGCGGAGCCCGGGCGGGAGGGCGGAGCCCGGGCGGGAGGGCGGAGCCCGGGCGGGAGGGCAGGGCCCGCTCAGCAGCACCTTTCTCCTCTGCAGATGAAAGATGTCTTCTTCTTCCTCTTCTTCCTCTGCGTCTGGCTGGTCGCCTACGGCGTGGCCACTGAGGGGCTGCTAAGGCCCCAAGACCGTGATCTCCCCAGTATCCTGCGTCGGGTCTTCTACCGGCCCTACCTGCAGATCTTTGGGCAGATCCCCCAGGAGGACATGGATGGTAGGGGTGGTGACTGGCCACCTCCCTCTGGTCTCCAGCGCTCTCCCCTGGGCCTCTGTCCCTTTCTCTCTGACCCTCTGTCCCCCTCTGTGGATCTTTGTCCCCTTTATGGGTCCTGGGCAGTCCCTTTGCCGGGTCCCTGAGTGTCTGCTTTCGCAGTGGCCCTCATGACGCCCATGAACTGCTCCTCCGAGGAGGGCGCCTGGGCTCAGCCTCCCGGGCGCCTGGCGGGCTCCTGCGTCTCCCTGTATGCCAACTGGCTAGTGGTGCTGCTCCTCGTCATCTTTCTGCTCGTGGCCAACATCCTGCTGCTCAATTTGCTCATCGCCATGTTCAGGTGAGGCCCCGGCACTCTCTGACTTCACCTCAGCCCCGACCCTTCGCCCCTTCCAGACCGCTGCACCCGGGCTCGTCAGATCTGCCCCTGACTCAGTCTAACGCTACAGCGTGGTGCTGTGCACCTGTAATTCCAGTGCTCGGGAGGCTGAGGCGGGAAGTTTATCTCAAGTTGGGGCCAGCCTGGGCTACATAGCAAGACCTTGTCTCAGAATACCAAAACCAAAACCAAAAATAAGCTAAGACTCACTGACTTGTGCCCAAATCCAACCAGACCCTATTCCTCATTCAAACTTTTTTTTTTGTCTTTTTGAGACAGGGTCTCGCTAAGCAGTTCAGGTTGACCCTGAGCTCACTTTGTAGCTCAGGCTGGCTTCGAACTCACAATGATCCTCCTGCTTCAGCCTCCGGAGTGCTGGGATTATAGGCTTGTGCTACCACGCCTGGCCCTCCTCCTTCAAACTTTAGACTCATCTCCCTGAGCCCCGGCCAAAATGTTTTTTAAAATTGTGATTAAGAAGCCAGGCGTGGTGGCACATGCCTGAGGCAGGAGGATCGTTGCAAGTTCGAGACCAGCCTGGGCTACAAAGTAAACTCAAGGCCAGCCTGAACTACATAGCGAGACTCTGTCTCAAGAAAAAAATTGTGATTAAATGTATATAATATAAAATTGGCCATTTGTACCATTTATGTGTTCAATTAGGTGACATTAATTATATTTGTAGTGTTCTGCAACCATCAGTGCAGTCCGTTTTCAGCAGTGTGCACTGTTAATCCTGCTTCCGTTCGCCTGCCTCCAGTGGCTTTCAATTTGCTTTCTGTCTCTGGATTGGCCTGTTCTATGTGTTTCATACACTTGTCCACGGTATTCTACAGTGTGTGTCCTTTTGCGTCTGGCTTCTTTCACTTAGCACATTTTTAAGGTTACTCAGAACACAATGCCCGGTTACAGCTGAATAATATTCCACTGTCTGCATGTGTGTGCCAATTACCTATTTATCTGAGATGGAAAGTTGGGTTATTTCTACTTTTTTGGCTCCTGTGAATAACACCTCAGGGGCTGTCAGCATGCAAGCATCAGTTTTATTTCCTTGGGCTGCGTACCTAGACGTGGCGTGACTGGGTTATATTGTAGTTCTATGTTTAGCTCTTTGAAGATCTGCCTGCTCTTTTCCATAGCAGTTGCATCATCTTACATTCCCACCAGCAGGATGAGGTTTCTGATTTCTCCACCTCCCTGCCAGCCCTTGTCATTTAACTTTTGTAAAAACTAGTCAGCCTGGCTGGGAAAGTGGTGTCTTGCTGAGGTTTTGATCTGCATTTCCTTAGTAACTTACTGGTGTGCTTATTTTCTCTTTAGAGAAAAGCATATTCACACCTTTTAAAATTGGTTGTCAGTCCTTTTGTTATTGTCACAGTTCTTTATATATACTACATATAAACGTCTATTTATGATTTATGAACATTTTCTCCCATTCTGTCGTTCCCTTCTCTTGATAATCTCTTAGGTTTTTTGCTTTTTTTGAGACATGGTTTTGCCTTACAGTTCAGGTTGGCCTTGAACTTACTTATGTAGCTTAGGCTGGTCTTGAATTCATGGCGATCCTCCTGCCTCAGCTTCCTGAGTGCTGAGATTACAGGCATGTGCCACCATACCTGTCCTGATAGTGTCTTATGGTGCACAAAAGCTTTTGATTTTGATGAAGCCCAATTTGTCTATTTTTCCTTCAGTTGCTTATACTTCTGATGTTGTATATAAGAATCTATTGCCAGGGCTGGGGATATAGTTCAGTGGCATAAGCACCTGCCTGGCAAGTGCAAGGTCATGAGTTTGATCCCCGGTACCACCAAAAAAAAAAAAAAAAAAGAATCTATTGCCAAATATAAAGTTATAAAGATTTTTTATTTTAAAAACTAAAAGAAGGAAAGCATACTAACAGACATCCATTTACAAAATAGCATAAGAACAGTACAAACAATACAGAGTTACAAAGTGGTAGGTAATTAACAATGGTTGTTGTATTACATATTGAGATCTTCAAAGCGGTTTCTTAGGGAAACAAATAGAGACATGCAGGATTGATCAAACAAGTAATCATTAACTGTTAAATCGTGAAGATTTGCTTGTTTTTTTCTAAGAGTTCTATGGTTTTAGCTCTATGTAGAGATTGTTGTCAGTGCAGTTTTATTTATTTACTTATTTTTGGTACCGGGAATCGAACTCACGACCTTGCGCTTGCCAGGCAGATGCTTGTGCCACTGAGCTACATCCCCGGCCCTGTCACTGCAGTTTTAGTTAAATTTTTGTGTATAATATGGGTCGGGGCCCAATTTCATTCTCTGTTGTGTGGAAATCCACTCATTCCAGGCTCACTTGTGGAAGAGACTCTTCTTCCCTTTGATTAGACTCGGCATTTTTCTTAAAATCAATCAGCTGTTGTTTTAGTTTCTTAGGGCAGCTGTAATAAAGTACCCAAACCTGCAAGTCTTTAAATAACAGGAACATACTGTCTCACAATTGTGGCTACAAATCTAAAGTCAAAGTTTTGGAAGAGTTGATTCCTTCTGAGGGGCTTAAGGGAGAATCTGTTCCATGCCTGTCTCCCCTGGCTTTTGGTAGTGTGGTGGCACCTTTGGTTTTAGTTGCAGCATTGAAACCTCTGCTTTCATCTCTCTGTATGTGCTGTGTCCAAATCTCCCCATTTCATGACAACAGCAACCACCCCAGTGACCTCATGTTAACTTAATCACTTTGCAAAGACTCTGTTTCCAAATAAAGTCATATTCTGAGGGGTTTGTACTTGAGCATTTTTTTTTTCTTGCTATGCAGTTCAGGCTGGCCTTGAACTCACTTATGTAGCCTAGGATGGCTTGAACTTGTAGTGATCCTCCTGCCTCAGCCTCCTGAGTGCTGGAATTACAGGTGTGTGCCACCACACCTGGTCTGAGTGTGTTTTTAAGGGAGACCCAATTTGCCCTATAACATTCATAGATTTATGGGTTTATTTCTTGCCTTTTAGTCCATGAGTCTGTATGTCTGTCCTTATGGCAGTACCAAACTGTTTTGATTATTGTAACTTTGCAACATATTTGCAAGTTAGGTAATTTGAACCCTCCAACTTTATTATTTTTCAAGATTATTTGGGCTATTCAGGGCCTCTTGCAAGTCCTAATAATTAAGGATTGGATTTTTCCATGTCTGCAAAAAAGATTGTTGAGATTTCTGTAGTGATTGCATTTGATCTAGAGACTGCTTTGGGTAGCATTGGATATTTATAAAATCTGAAGAGAAGCCAGAATATTCCCACAATGTTTTGTAATTTTCCATGTCCAAGTATTCTACTTTCTTCATTAAGTTTATTTCTGGATGCTTAATTTTTGTAGAAGTTATTTCAAATATTGCTTTGTTTTTTCTTTCCTGTGTGTGTGTGTTCTAGAGATTGAAACCAGGGCCTTTGCACTGAGTTTTTATTTTTTATTTTGTTTATTTATTTATTTTTGAGACAGGGTCTTGCTAAGTCACTAAGTTGTCCTGGCTAGGCTTGAGCATATGATCCTTCTGCCTCAGCTTCCCAGACTGCTACAATTACAGGTGCTTACCACCAGGGCCGAGACATTGATTTTCATATGTTGAACTGCCATTACTTTCCTAATATAAATCCCACTTGGTCATGATGTAGGATCCTTTTCATTGGGCTGGACTTGGTTGTTGTTATTTCTGAGGCTGTTTGTATTCATATTCGTACAGGATGTTGGTCTGTGCTTCCCTTGTGATGTCTTTCGTTGGTTTTGGTATCCTGGTAATGCAGGCCTCATGGAATAACTGAGGACATTTTCTCTCCTTTTCAATTTTTTGGAAAGAATTTGTGAAGGATTTCTTTCTTTAAATGTTTGGTATAATTCACTAGTGAAGCCATCTGGTCCTGAACTTTTCTTTTCTTTTTTTTTTTGGTACCAGGAATTGAACGCAGGACCTTGCGCTTGCCAGGCAGGCACTTGTGACGCTGAGCTTTTTTTACTGTTTTCTTTTTTGGTACCAAGAATCGAACTCAGGACCTCGTGCTTGCCAGGCAGGCACTGTGCTGCTGAGCTACATCCCCAGCCCTCCTGTACTTTTCTTAATTGGAGATTTTTTGATTGGTGATTCAATGTCTTTACTTTTGATATATCTATTGAGATTTTCTATTTCTTCTAGAGTCAGTGTAATTTATGTGTTTCTGGGAATTTGTCCATTTCATCTAAGTTACCTAATTTATTGACATTATATATATATATATATAATTTTTGGGACAGGGTTTCACTATGCAGTCGAGGCTGACCACAAACTCTCAGCAATCCTCCTGCCTCAGCCTCTGAGTGCTGGGATTACAGGCATGCGCTACTATACCTAGCTTCATATTATTCTTAATAGTATTCATTTATAATCCTTTTTATTTCTACGATGTGATGTGTATAGAGATGTCCTCATTTTCTTTTTTTTCTTTTTTCTTTTTCATTTCTGGTTTTTTCAATGGCCGGGAAGGAACCCAGGGCCTCATTCACGCTAGGCAAGTGCTCCACCACTAAGCTGCAGCCTCAGTCCTCAGGCTGACTTTTGAGCTGGATTCCAGTTCTACCTCCAACCTCTACATTAATCCATGATACCTTCCCCAATTTGACTTTTGACATCTAGCCCTTGGCCCTTCTAACCTCATTTCTAATCATGTCCTGTAATAATTTTGATTTTGTTGACACAGATATTTGCCTCTTGCCTTGGACTTTGAAAATATATTGCCTGGCATCTAACCTTGATCCCCATCCCGACCCCCTGACCCTGATCTGCCCTTGACCTTGGATGATCTTTGACTTCTGATTTCTGCAGCTACACCTTTGGCAAAGTACAGGGCAACAGTGACCTCTATTGGAAGGCACAACGCTATAGCCTCATCCGGGAATTCCACTCTCGGCCTGCACTGGCCCCGCCCCTCATCGTCATCTCCCACGTGCGACTCCTCATGAGGCGCCTGTGTAGGAGCCGCCGCCGACGGTCCAGCACACCTGCCTCTCCGGCCATGGAGCACTTTCGTGAGCACAGACCCCTGGCCTTCAGTGGGCGGAACTTGGGGAGAAAGATGAAGGGGTGAGGTGGGTGTGGGAGGAGGAGGCGAGCCCCCAGGGCCAGGGGGCGGGGCCAGGTGGGGCGGGGCTGCTCTAGGACCGCCCGGGGGCGGGGTCTGTAGGGCGGGCTCTGTGGAGCGCTGTCGGGCTGAGGGTGTTGGGCGGGGCGCACCCCAAATGCAGGGGACCTTTGACTCATTGGGTCTGCCCACCAGGTGTCCACCTCTCCAAGGAGGCCGAGCGGACGCTGCTGACTTGGGAGTCGGTGCAGAAGGAGAGCTTCCTGCTGGCCCGCACGCGGAACAAGCGGGACAGCGACTCTGAGCGGCTGAAGCGCACCTCTCAGAAGTGAGGGCGGGGCAGGGGCGGGGCTTTCTGGCAATGGGCGTGGCCTTCAGCGGGGCGGGGCGGGGATTGTGGGGCATGTGGGTGGGGCTTCTGTGGTGGGCGTGGTCGCCGGCCTCAGGGCCCTTTTCCTAGGGTGGACTTGGCGCTGAAGCAGCTGGGACAGATCCGGGAGTATGATCAACGTCTGAAAGGGCTGGAGCGGGAGGTGAGGACGTGGGGCCTGGCTGGGGGGCTGTGGCGGGGATCGAGGCAGCGAGGTTCCCTTCTGCCTCCGTGCCGCTCGCTCCCCAGGTCCAGCACTGTGGCCGCGTCCTGGACTGGGTGGCCGAGGCCCTGAGCCGCTCCACTGTGCTGCCACCGGGCGGGCCACCGCCCCCTGCACGGCCCAGCTCGAAAGGTCAGTGTCCCTGGTCCTCTGCTCTCCTTTGGGCCTTCTGTGCTGCTTTTTCCGGGTCTCTGTTTGCCGGGCTCCTGTGGCTTCTCCTCGCCTGGCACCTGCTGGAAAGGCGACTTCTCTCTTCCCTGCAGACTGAGCGCTGCTGGCCTTCACGGAGTGGCCCCCAGGGTCCTGCTCCTGGACCAAGGCCCAGGCGGCCCCACCTGTGTGCCCGACGGCCTTGTCCCTGAGCTGGGCCAGGTTCAGGGACCACGGTGGGGACACCCTGGGGAGTGTCGCCCATGCGAGCACGCAGGCGCGGCTCCTCCCAGCACCAGCCCCGCCGTGGGAGGATCAGGGTGTGCGGCGCAGGCTGCCGACCCCCGGAGGGACCTGCCCCAGTGGGGGCCACAGGGGGGTCCTTGGGGCAACGGGGACCACTGACCCTATTCCAAGCTTCCCCACACTGGGGAAATAAAGCCTGTGAGATCAGTAGCATCTGGCTGTTTGATCCTTGGGGAACTGGTGGGTGTCTGGGTTCTTCTGGGAGGGACTGGAGCTAGATCGGGGGTTCTGGGGCCTTGGTGGCTTCAAGTGTCTGGGCGTCTGTCTCTCCTCCTGCCCGACGCACGCCCCAGCGTCTTGTCTGTGCTGTTCTGATGGTCCTCACTTCGGGGAGCAGGAACCCATCTTGGCCCCCGTTGGGTTCTGTTTCCAGGGGAAAAATAACGCAGTGGTAATCAGCAGATTATTTCCCAGCGAGGGCTGGGTGGGTGGGCGCTGGGTACATCTGCCTGGCACTAGGCAAACAGATGATGCAGATTTGAGGAGATAAATGCATATGTGTCTTTAAAAAGTCTAATTAGTGGAAAATTGTAGGCCACACACACACATGGAGTTGAGGCAGATATGCATCATTATACATGCAATTTAACTAAATAACCCGTAACAGAATAAACCGGTAATGACAAGGCTGAACTGACAGCAATTATTAGTTAAATAGCAAGAAAGCCACCAACAGCCAACACATCCCAAAATCCAAACCAAAACATCCTTCCTCCAAATTGGATGCTTTCCAACTGGCTGCCTCCTTGGGTGCACAGTAGTTTTGAAACATTGCCAAGTATTGTGTGACACCCAGACTTCTCCCGGAAGTGCTGAGTCAGGCCTCCCCAAGGCAAGCCGTAGCAATCATGGTAAGGAGGATGGTGGGGATCGCAGCGACAGTGATATTGGAGACTCACGCTCTGTGTCTGGCAATGCGTGTGTGTACAAATCAACGAAACCTTCTGATGACTCTATGAAGTTGTTTGTTTTTTTTTTCTTGAGACATGGTCTCACTCTGTAGTTCAGGTTGGCCGTGAGTTCACTGTGTAGCCCAGGCTGGCTTTGATTGTTTTGTTTTGTTTTGTTTTTTTTTTTTTTTTTTTTTGTTTGTTTGTTTTTTTCTTCTGGTACCAGGAATTGAACTCACGACCTTACGCTTGCCAGGCAGGTGCTTTTGCCACTGAGCTAAATCCCCAGCCCCAAAGACGTTATATTATCCTTTTCTTTTCTTTTTGTTTTGTTTTTTTATTTTTCTTCCGGTACCAGGAATCGAACTCATGACCTTGTGCTTACCAGGCAGGCGCTTTGCCACTGAGCTAAATCCCCAGCCCCTCCAGGCTGGCTTTGAACTCGCTGCGATCCTCCAGCCTCAGCCTCCCAAATGCTGGGATTACAGGTGTGCGCCACCATGCCTGGCCTGAAGTAGATACTAACATAATCTTACTATCCTTTTTCTTTTTTTTCTTCTTCTCCTTTTCCTTATCATTCCTTTATTTCAGTACTGGGGATTGAACCGAGGGCTTTCACACTAAGCTACATTTCCAGCTCTTTTTTCTTTTTTATTTAAAAAAAAAATCAAGTGTATGTGTGAGAGAGAGAGAGACTAGGCACTGAACCTAAAGTGTTCATATTGAGCTACATCTCCAGCCCTTTTACATTTTTTTAAATTTTGAGACAGGTTTTGTTAACTAACTCACTCAGTTGCCCAGGCTTGGCTTGATCTTCCTGTCTCAGTGTCCCAGAGTGCTGGGATTACAGGTGTGTACCACCGTGCCTGATTTAGTAGATACTATTGTTGTTTCCGCTTTGCAGTGAGCAAACTGAGGCATAGGTAAGATAAATGACTCACATAAAGTGCCACAACTAGGAAACATCTGAAGTTGAATAGAAATCTCAGTAATCTACACAGAGCACCTTGGTATTGCACTTTATTTTTTGTTTTTTGAGACAGGGTCTGGCTATGTAGTTCAGGCTGGCCCTGAACTCACTATGTAGAACTAGATTGGCCGCAAACTCATGGAAATCTTTCTGCCTCAGCCTCCCTCGTGCTGGGATTACAGGTGTGCACCACCAGGCCTGGCTCTGTAATGTACTTTGTAGCTGGCAATGTCTGCTGCTGCAGGAACTCAGTCCAAGGGCAGGTTTAAGCTACTGTCTCACTCCAAATCCACCTTGGTCAACCAGGCTGTGCAGTACTGGGGCCATTCTGCTTTGCCAGCTGAGCTCATCGGCCTCCACCGGAAGAACTAGAGAGAGGAAGAAGGGATGTGCTCTTTCTGTGGGTCCCATCTCTTGATGGTAACCCCAGAACAAGGCTCTCTCTGGCTGCAGCCGTCGCTTCCAGGTTTTACCTTCTCTTTGTGGTTGTCTCCAGAGTCAGTTTTTTGGGTCTTCCTTTGCCCCACAAGCACCATCCTGACGCACCCTCTCGCCGGCCGGGCTTTGCTCTCAGGGCTGCCTTGCCGGCTCTCTGGGTTCTGATAATCATTGGTGTCATGGAGTTACAGTTTCTGTGCTAACTCTGTGCTGCTTCTCACACACACACACAAAGGCTGTTAAAATACTAAACACTGCTGGGCATAGTGGGGCACGTTGTAATCTCAGCAGTCTAGGAGGCTGAGGCAGGAAGAGGATGGCAAGTTTGAGCCCAGCCTGGGAAACTTAGCAACTTAATGAGGCCCTGTTTCAAGATAAAAAAACAAAACAAAACATTTTTTTGAGACAAGGTCTTGCTATGTAGTTCAGATTGGCCTTGAACTCACTATGTAGCCCAGGCTGGCCTCAAATTCTCAGTGATCCTCCTGCCTCAGCCTCCCAAGTGCTGGAATTATAGGTGTGTACCGCCACACCTCACCAAAATAAAAAAATTTTAAAAAGGGCTTGGGATGTAGCTCAGCACAAAGGCCCTGGGTTCAAACCCCAATACAAACCAAACGAACAAGACTACACACACACACACACACACACACACACACATACTAAATAATTCTGGAAGTGTATATTAAATCTTCCCTTCAAGTAGGCTTTGTATATGTTTATGATGGCTGTGTCATGCGGGGGAGAAGGTAATCAGCTGTGTCAGGGATTAGATCCTGGTTTGGGGGGTACTGGAGTGTGGGAGACCGGAGGAGACTTGAGGCTGCCTTTGCCGCCTCTGTGAGCCTGAGGAGAACAGCGCACACAGGGATGATGGCGTTGCAGGTTTTAGAGAAAAGTCAATACAGCTTCGATCGGGTTGTTTACCTGGGCATGCACTATGGGAATGGCGGCAGATGAATCTTGGGTTACTTTAATTGCTTCTGCTCATGTCTGAGTGAATAAAATCAGGATGAGCCAGACTCTCGGGGTTCCTCTGTGCTAGATGCAAGAGCCCCTGGCTGCCTGCACACTAAACTGACTCTGTCTGTCTTTCATCCTCATTCACCCCTGGGTGAGGGTGACAAGTTAGCAGGGCTAGGTCCCTACAAGTGGCACCTGGGTGGGGAAAGACCAGAGTGATGTGGTTCCCCATGGGTGGCGGCCTTGGCGGGGACGTGGGACCAGTGTAGATTGGTTTGCTACACTGGAGCTCAAACCCAGGGGTGCTGTACCATGGAGCTCCGTCTCCCGCCCTGTTAATTTTAATTTGGAACCGAGTCTCGCTAAGCTGCCCATGCTGCCTGCAACTTGCAATCCTCCTGCCTCAGCCTCCCAAGTTGTTGGCATTACACTTGTGTACCCCAGTGCCTGGCTTAGATGCTGACTTCAAACCTATATCCAAATGCTACTGCGGTGACTTACCAAAGTGAGATAGTGTGGTGGTCAGGGGCAAGTGAGATTCTGGCGTTGGGACATTGCCGCCATGAGTTCCGCGGAGCCAGGCCCCACGCCTTATAGTTTAAAATTGTGTGAGACACATTTGCCGTCTGGGGAAATTCCCGGTTTTGCTCTTTGCCCACGGAATGAGGGGTGCATGACAGCAAGGATCAAGAGAAGGTGCCTAGAGCTTTCCTTCTCTACCAGCAAGAACTACGCTGAGAAGACACGGGTGCGATGGTCACCACATGTTAACTGCACGCCCCTCTGTGTCCTGTCTGAAGGCAGGGAGGCCTCGGAGGAGGACTGCAGTGCAGCAGAGACTTGGTCAAGGGGTGGCTGCAGTCATAGTTGCTTTTCCAAGACGGTTTATTTGCTTGGTGTTTTGAGCCACTCTAGTAAGTGAGCAGACTGACACCCAAGATGGAGCGGAGTCCCTTTAGCAGGAATTCTTTAAACCAAGCTCTGCCCTGGAGCCCCCCGCCCTCCCTGGACCCCGCAGCGTAACAGCCTTGTGGTGTGCAGGGGAACTGATGCAGGTTTCCTGATCTTGGTGCTGCCTGCCAGGCCACGGGTAATACATCGTTTATCTCTGACCCAGGAGTCTCGTGGCTTCTGGCACTGTCTCTGAGACAGCAGTGGCTGACTCGTAAGGAGGCAAAATGACACAGCAGACCTGGCAGTGCCGGCAAAGAGGATGTGGCTGTGGCAGAGGCGGGGCTTTCTGGACTAGGAAGCATGACAGAGATGCCATGGCTCAGGGTATGAGAAGACTCCCAGGGCCTACCAGGGAGTTCTGCCACCCACCTGGAGCAGGACAGCCAGGAATAAGAACCTCCACTGTCCAATCTGTTGATGGGCTGTCTGTATGGCCAGAGGGAGGCTGGAAAGAGGGACCCAAGGGGCCGCCCTGGCAGGGGGAGGGTAGAGTTGTCCTCACCGGGAGATGGCAAGCCCTGTGACCCCTTCACCAGGCTCCTCAGTGGGAAGAACCTCTGAAAGTGCTATCGGCACCCAGGACCTCGGTATTGGAGGTAGAGCTTTGGGTGCAGCGGGTGTGGTGATGTGCGCTAGGAGGCTGAGGCAGGAAGATCACAAGTTTGAGCCCAGCCTGGGCAATTTAGCAACGTAGTGAGACCCTGTCTTAAAAAAATAAAAGAAGGACTGGGCATATAGCTCATTGTGAAGGCTCTGGCAATCCTCAGTATGAGAAAAAAAAGAAGATTTGGGAGGACTGGAAAGAGTGCAGAAGGCACCGCCGCTGCTCTGAGTCCCTGACGCACCCGGTAGGGCCAGACCCGCAGCTGGGTGCAGGGGAGGCCCAGATGGGGGGCTGGAGGGCGGAGCCTGGGGCTGTGAAGGGTAGGGAGAACC